TTTGGCTTGGAAAACATACTACTATGTACACATATGTACCCAAAAGTCCAACAGGATGGAGAAATGGGGAAGAGATGACAAAGAGACCACAACCTGTTAAGGGGGAGTGCTTCTCTCTCTCTCTCTCTCTCTGGCAAGCACATACATTACCTAGTAATTTTTAAAAAATCCCCTTTTCTACATAATGTCATATGAGCAGATGTCAAGGGCTAGGGATTAAATGTATCTTCTGGAGCCACATTCAGTCCACAAGACAATGTGACTATCCCAGAATTTTATACTCAAAGAATGTGTCACTGCCATCCTGGGGGCACTTGTCATTCAGAATAGCATTGGCCATTCCAGCTGGGACCTTCTCCAGGCTTCTTGGCTGGAAGAACTCAAACTCCATGGCTACATCCATAGATACACTTGGTATGAAGCCCAGCAGGGAAGTTACTTCTCCAAGTGTGTGCTAGTGTTCAGACTACTGGGGCCTTTAGTTCCTCTTCATCTAGGTGCCCTTAATGTCTGGTTCACTCTCTATTCACAGGCCCAGCATATTTCTCACCCCGCCCAGCCCCGGGTTTGAAAAAAAAGGAGGGCGCGACGTAGCCCGCGGGGGCGGGACCAGCTACGCGATTTTGGCGCGAACTCGCTGGCTCCGCCCCCTGCTCGGCACGGGGCGCGGCCGGAGCGATCCTCCACGCTGCCGGCCTAAGAGCGAGCCCTGGAGACCCAAGGCAGTCCTGGCGCCGCTTGGACGGGGCTGGACCCGGGAACCTGGTGCGCCAAGGCCGACGCTGCCTTCTCCCGGCTTCTCGGGCCCTGAGGCCTGAAGACTGACTGGCGGCCAGAGAGAGCCGGAAACCGCGTGACAGTCGGGGTCTGCCCCCGGAGGCCGCCTCCCGCCGCGCTTCCCTTTGGGGCGGGCCAGTGGGGCGCGGTGGGCGGGGCAGTAGGCAGTCACGTTCCCCAGCCGAGGTCTTAGGCGTCGGGAGTGACTCTGATTTCAGGACCTTTACAGACTATGCGAGTCATTGTGCTCGTGGGGCGGCTTCTGGGCCTCAGTTTCCCCGGGGGTGGCTATTAGGGGCGGAGATGTCCGCAGCGAGGTGAGCTCCCCGGGCGGGTGGTCGCGTCTGCAGACGACCGCAGGCTTGTCCAGGGTAAATAGAAACAGCCCCACAGTCGGCCCTAGCCCGAAACCAAGTGCTCACCACGCGATCACGGTGTTTATATTTGTTCGCCAGCACGTGGGCATGTGTTGGCAAAACCGATTGGCCCGGCTTGCTGCTAATTTAAAGGCAACTGGAGAAAAAAAATCCCCATACTCGGTCGAACTGTGGTTTAATTTGTCCCTAATGGCACGTACAAGTTTCTTCCCACTTTTCTGTTGTATTATAAACAACTCCATAATGAATATTATTCCGTTTCTGCGGTTTTGTTTATTTTTGTTCTTTAGGATACATTCCTGGAATGGGGACTACTTGGTCAAAGGATGTATGCTGCCTAACTGGTCTGCAGAAAAAGCAATTTATAGTCTCACTCGCAGTGGATTAGAGCACGCTCGAAATTTTGGACATCAGTGGATTTTTCATGTTTATGGAGTTTTGTTGTCTTGATTCATGTTATTGGGCAGTTGGCATGGGTTTAATGATCATTGACATTTATATTTGATTGTCTTATTTTTATTATATCACTTTATGACCATTAACATTGTCATTTTTTTTAGTGTTTTTGAAAGGTTAAATAAAATCAAGTTGCATTTTTTTTTTAATGACAGAGAAGGAGGAGGGGGAAAGAGAAGTATTCTAACAGGATCTCACAGATAGCATCCACCTGCTCCAGCCTTCCAGTTAACCAGTGTTGCAGGAACCCACTGCGACCCTGCCTGGCCTCTTCAGGATCTGAACTGGGCCTTCTATATGTGGCCCCCACCTTGGACCATTGGACCCTTTGGTCTGGGCCTCAAGTTGAATTTTTAAGGAAAACGTAGGTCATTAGTTAACACATCCCATGTGGAGTTTCTCAAGAAAATCAGAAGACTCAATGATTGGTCTACAGCTATCTTCTACAAACATTTGCTATTTGCTAATGATGTGTGTGTGTATATGTATATACATATATATTTGTGTATGTGTGTGTGTGTGTATGTGTGTATATATAATATTCATTATTCTGTCTCTGCGGTTTTGTTTATTTATTTTTATTCTATAGGATACATTCCTGGAATGGGAATTACTTGGTGAAAGGATGTATGCTGCCTAACTGTTCTGCAGAAAAAGCATATAAATATATATATATATATAGTATAATGCATAATGTTAAGCTCTTGAAGGACAAGAGTTCTATACTTGTGTGTTTCAACTACAGGCATTTTCTGATTCACAGTAGCCAAAACTAAGGAGTGGCTTTTAGCCTTTTCCCTTCAAAACTTCCCCTTCTGTCACTCCTAAGGACAAATACAGTTCTTTCCTATGGATAGTTGACAGTTTCTCAATTTTATATGAAGTGTAAATAACTTTAGAAAACTCCTTTTTTTGGTTTGTTTGTTTGAAGGGGACCAGCCTGTGACCTACTGGTTAAGAAAGCTGGATCCTTCATGGCTGACTGTGTTGTTCGAATTCCAGGCCCAAGGGACTTGAGAAACATGCCAAGCACATGTGCGTGCCCCAGATTGAAAAAGGCAGGAGAGGGGAGAAGAGATTGTGGTATGACCTCACCCCATGAGAAAATCTACTGATCCCCACTCCCTCTCTGTCTCTCTGGGAAGCCCATGTACCTTCTAGCAAATGAAAAAAATTTTTTTCAATTAATCTGTAACCTGAGTTGTGTTTTGTAAAATTGGTGTGTTTTTCTAAGCAAATAGGAACTTCAGAGCTCCTTAGGCACCTCTCACAACTATGCAATAGATTGTTGCTTTGTCAGCACCTCCTGTAGAGAATTCTGAATCACTTGTTGGTGATCATGGGATCTCACATCCCCTCCCCCCTTCACTCTTTTCTTTTTTTTTTTTGGAGAGATTTTCACTGTAGGGCGCGTGCGCTCGCCAGACAGACAGAGAGAGACATAGAGACAGAAAGCGAGAAATCACCCCCCAGGGAGGATGGTCACGCCGCAATCCCTTCTCCTCCATTCTCCTCTCGGGATCTTGGGCACGCACGCACACGTGCCCGGCGTGAGTTTTAAGCCACCGGGTCCGGGACACGAACCGCGGTCGACTACGTGGGAGTCCAGCGACATAGCCATTACGCTAACTGCTGGTTCCCCCCCCCCTTCACTCTTTAACAACACCCTGCTTGTTTCCTTAACAGGCTTGGATCTAAAAGTCTGTTGTTTATTACTATCCTCTCCTAGAAAGATGTCCGAGAGTAGAGACCT